TTAGCTGTCTCACAAGATTAAGAGAGGAAGTACCATCAATTCACTTTTGTATTCAGGAGAGCTTCATCTGCACTTCATATTATAGCTGTTATCACAGATATTCTTTAGAAGATAACACTATAAATGGATTATAAAAGAAAAATACAAATGTGTGTATAAGTGCTGAAAAAATATGAAGTATTAAAAAAATCTAAAAATGAAATGAACCAGTCAACTCATTAGGTATCTCCTTGGAACTAGCTGTAACTTTCTAAGTACAAACCTTAGTTTCATCTTTCTCAGGAGCTTGACTAACAAAACCAAATACACCTACTTGCTGTTTTCCATCAGTTCAGTCCTCCCCCAACACCTGTGATTAGTTCTCACACAGATTTCTAAATATCTTTTGTCATCTTTTAGTGGAAACTGAAAAGGTCCAAGCTAAAAACCATCTTGTAAATCTATTTTTAAGATCTTTATGCTACTCCCTGTTCTCCCTGGAATGCCTTAGCAACTCTGTTTCTCTTGTATTCCTTTTCATTCCCTAGCTATCCTTGTTCTAGTTCCCAGCTCTCAGTATGCCTTTTCTCTATTGCTATTAACAACTAACTGGCCACAGGTGGCCAGTAATTGCCTCTTGACCCTAAAAGGAGTAAGGTAGCCCATTCCAATAATACTGTAGGACAGTAACATTCATGGAAATTGATAGACAAAAGTAATTCCAAGATTAGGAAAAAGATATGTAACTATAAAAAGCCATAGATACCAACCACTAAGGAATAGATAAACAATACTGAAGCGAGTTCATTCCACATAGCTTCATGTGATACATGTTGGAAGCAAATGTGCTGTATTAGAACTTAGTACATTTTCATTAATGATGAATGTGTTTTGAAAAGTAATTATTAAGGTGTCTATAAGATATTTGAATTAGTTTCTCTCATTCAAAGCTAGAAAGAGATTTTACTATGGATAGTCTAGAGAACCAATACAACTGCTGTATGAAGGATCAGTGAAATGAATTCTTCCATGCCTTCAGTATCTTGGCAATTTATTGTACTGTCTGGGCAGGTACAAAGCTATATAATATACTTGCACCCAGTCCAGATGCATGTGTGTCAAATGTACCTAGTCAAAACCTCCTGCCTAATGGATGTTTCGATAACAGAGAAGGAGCTGCCTCCCCCTCCCATTATAGCCACAGTAGACAAATGATTTAGGATACCTGCTTAGGAAGCACACAACCTGGGTTCTTGGCACCTTGTCCAAGGGAGCTTTGAACCTGCACTTCTGACTTCCAAAGCACAGTGCTATAACTACCACACTACACACTGGGCATGTCTACATGTGTAGCTATGGAAGCTTTGTTACTAAGCCTTGATTTAGTACTTCCTTTTGCCGTAGCAATGAACTATATCAGGGGAGCATGTTACTATGGCAAAGTAGCTGCTGGTCACATGGAGATGCCCATGGATGCTACTTCACTGTAGCGTGTTGGTACAGCAATGTAGCATCATGTGTAGATGTGCCCATTAGGTATTCTTTGCTTCCTCTTTAAAGCATTCCTTGGGAAAATGGCTCCTTTGGCCAGCCAAGAGAGGGAGAAATGCAGAGCCAAGATGCAAAGCACAAAATTTAAATGGCTTCTGCTCTGCATGGGAGGCAGTCCTTTGTTTTAATAGGACAGGAACTTCTACATTGGACTGGTTTCCAGCCATTTCATTCACTGACTATTAAATATAAGGGGCAGTGGCACAGCTCCAAAGGGAATGTTGCATAGGTAACTAATGTGTGCTATTGCACTATGCTGGTGTGCACAGGTACAGATTCAAGTCCTTCTTGACTGAGGCGTGTATAGAACCTGGTTCTCCAACTTTCTGAACAACTGCCTTCATTACTCAGCTTCCTTTTCTTCTAGATTTACATTCAGGCATGCATGTACGGTGCATAGTCAGTCTATGTGTGAGAACTTATGTTTCAACAGTGCAGGCTTAAGTGCCCAAAACACCCAGGTGTGCAAGGAGTAACAAAATTTTGTCCCTGCTTTAGAAATTAAGAAAGGCAGAGCTCTCCTCCCTCCCTAAATGGCACAGTCTAAGATGATGTAAACTATCTTCTGCTAGTAGAACAAAGTCCATGAAAGAAGCTTTTACTCTTCTCAGGCACGCTGGAAACAGGTCTTGAGAGTAGCTGGGCCTTGGCAAAAGTATTTAGTAGACCTTTCACTGCTAAGCAGATCAAGACTAATGGAAGAATCTGATGGAAGAAGGAGCATGCAGATCTTGCCAAGATGGAGTTTGCTACACTGGTAGAAAGAAATCATATTTACCTTTATAAACTGAGCAATTTCAATTAATACAGAGAAAATAATTATGAATAATACCTTTTATTTTATTCAGCATATAAAGCTCACTTTAAAGAGACCTTCACACTTATATGCTTTGGAGGAGGAGATTGTATCCTCCAGAAAAACTTCATTTTCCCAAGATCAGAAATTTTCAACTGTCAAAAAGAAACAGACTAGAAAAAAGTATATTTATAAACTACATATACATAGAAAAAGATATTAAATCTTTTGGACAAATGTAAAAGATTTGTATTTGGTACCAGTATATCTTAATTTTGTTTGTGTCTAGTCAACATATATTTTAATTCCCTCTTGTAGAATACAATTTGGCATGTAACCTATGGATGTATATGACTGACTATTTCTGTGATAAAACTTAAAGTTCATTGCACCCAAAGGTGCACAGTGATATATAGAAGGCCTTTGTTAAAAGGCCCCTCAAATCTCTAGGTACTAACTCTCTGATGCTAGAAAGCAAGTTGTAATTGTTTCGCAGTCATAACACCCAGTATCAAAAAAGCAGATGCTGGCCAAAGCCTAGCACTAGACTGGCAATTTCTGTGTTCCTACAGTGTATTTATAATTGTTTCATATTTGAATAGTATATTTGTTGATGGCATAATGTGGATAGTTACAACTACTGAAAACAAAGAATAGGTCAAACCATTTTTAGCTCATATAGAGAAGAAGCACAGAAAAAAGAAAAATAGAAGGGTCGGTGTCCAGGCAGCCATTTTTACTTTCGAAAAAATATCCTCTCATTGCCTCAGTATTTACAGACATTCTATTCAACAAGTTACTCAGAGGTGCTTAACTATAAGCTCATAGTTTCACTGAAATAAATAAGACCTTAAATGCTAGAGGCTGAAAGTGAGAGAGGAACAGTGAAAAAACCCTGGTCATTCCCAGTTCACTCTCCCTTTCAGTATTCACTCTCTGCCATTGTGTGACCCAAGATACCAGACAAGAAGGACCTATCATCTGACCCAGTAAATGGCATTTCTTATGTTCTTATGCCTACATATATATTTAATGTTTGTCTTTAGTACTGAAATAAGATACAGGATATCCACTGATACACTGCATAATGGGGTGATGAGCATTATAATGGTTCCTGATTCCCACAGCCTATTACAGTAGAAGGGATGGACAATCCCTCTACTACCCTAACTACAGGGATTCAACCATGGTATGTAGACCTGACTGCACAGACCAGCCTCAATATGGTTTAAAATGGGAAATATGCTATTAAGATTTTGTGGCATATGGCAAATACTGTAAAAGGTATATGCTTTACAAATCCTTAACAGATCATGTCTTACTGTGATAGCTTTCCACAAAACTTGAAGCTTATTCTGTCATCATATAAGTAGTTCTACCCAAACTGTTGGAATTAATGTGAATGAAGTAAGCAGTACTTATACCTTTCCCTTCTGTTTTCACCTGGATTTTTGTATAGTCAGCCATCATACAGATGCAGCTTCCTTCCATTTTAATACATTGTATTAATTTGAATATTACTTATGTAGAAAAAATACTGTCTGATTTGTTGTTGATGTTCCTAAAACCAATAGGAGCAATGGGTGTTCAGAAGTCATTTCTAATTCTTAATAGTATCTACCATATGGTTTTAATTTCCATCCTGTTTGCAACATAGGAAAGAAACCTGTCATTATCTGACTAAAGGTTGAAGTGACAGTCATTTTCTTAGAAAAAACAACCCGTTCTTCTCTTTTACTTTTTGTAACTGTTCTAAGGGAAATGAAGTCATGTTCTCAAATGAACAAAGTACCAGCATGAAAACTAGCTTTTAAAAGGTATTATGTTCCACCTTATAAAACCGTGCACCATTTTTACTTTTTTTTTTTAACTGAACACTTTGTGAAAACATACAGTGAGTGAGTGAACTTTCCTTGAGGGGTACATGAAGTTAAGTCATTTCTTTAATAATAATGGACTCTATTATACAGAATACATGGCACAGAACTGAAGGGGTTTTGTAATAATCTAAATGAAACAAAAAGCACCTATTGTGCTGTTAACAAGGATATTTGGTGTTAGAACCATTAAAAGTCTTGAATGATATTTGAAGATAAGTAGCTCATTTATTTTAATTAACATTTCTGAAAGGGTTTCCAGGAAAAAACAAATGCAGCTGGTTCTCAGTTCCTCAGAAAAGGATGGTTGAATGTTTTGGTTGTTTTATTTTTTTTTTCCCCATTATGCTATAATTAGTAATTATTTAGCTTAAACAAATTCATTTGTTAACTAATGGTACATTAGAAAAATCAGCTAGATATAAATGTTTTACAAGTTTATATTTTTTTTTTCAATATTTTCTCCTCCTCTCTCACTGAATAACAATTTAATTGGTTACAAACTGATTTTTTTTTTTTGCCCTGCTATTTAGTTTTTATGCTTGTGTCCATCTTGAGGTTGATTCCTAACACATCAGTCCACTTCCTGTGGTATACACTTTTAAGTTTTACATTTGGCTTTGTTTTATCATTTCTGCTTCATATGAGCTCTACTGTTAACACTTGGGACAGCTTTCACATTGGCCTCTTAAAGCTTGTTATTAATATTGCACTTTACAATTAGTAGTTATTTTATTTAAGCTTGCTAAAGTGAGCATGTACTTAGGACCCATCATTTGCCTTCTCTTTTGTTCCAGCTTCTGGAAGAGTCCCACTCAGCTAGGTAAGTCATATTGCATTATTTCAGATTTCTGCTTTAGAACAGGTAAGATACACACTAAATGTAATTTGGGGTGGCACGGGCTTCTTGACCTATATTTGACATTTTTTTTCTGCATTTTAGGGGAAACATTATTACAAATTGTGTTGTAACTGTCACATCCTGATACAGCTATACTGTGAAGCCTTTACTCATGTAGCCTGAAACACTTGGTGCAACAAGGCATCCAGTCAAACCAAACCATCCAAAATTTGTGTTTGGGCTGCAAGGAATTCAGGACTAAACTGCACTTGATGACCATTCTGCCCAGGCCATTTGGGCACACCAGCAGCTAGTTTCAGTTATTACAATCGTTCTCTGCAGTACCTAATATCACTGTGGGTTTCAGCTAGAGATGACATTAACAAAAACTGGTATTGACCAGGAGAAAACATAGGACATTAATTTTATGGAATTGTAAGTGCTTATGATGGAGTGACACCCTTACACAACCATGAAGGGGAAAAAACTACCTGACTGACTAGACACTCAGTCACCTGGAGAAAGAAAGGAGGGACTTCCCTTCCTGCAAAGGATTATGGGCAGAGATGCTCCCTATAAAACCCTTGATTCCAAGAGCATTGGATTATTGGAAGTGGTTAAGGAAATGAGCCTGTTATAAAACCCTGGGGGTACTTTTGTTAGGAAAAGTGATTGATGGTGTAGAAAGGCATGTTATGTGGATTTTAATATTATTGAGTGTGGGGGACGTGGTTGTTGTTGAATTTCTCTGAGCTAGACCATACTGATTTGTTTGAATATCATTTATGCTCTGTTTTGTGCAGTATACTTTATGATGGTGTCAAATAAACTAAAAATCACTAAGTGCTCAGCTAAAGAGGCTTTTTTTTTTTTTCTTTTTCCATTCTTTCTGAGTGCCCTTATCTTGACAAATTCTTGTGAATTAATGGTGGTGGTGATGATGATAGCCTAACGTATAGTCTCTTTCTGAATGTTACCTCACATTTAAGCAGTCTCTTACTTTTGTGAAGTGAAAGCATTATAAATTTCATGAAATCCTGGTGGATCACCAGTTTCTATGGTCCCAGAACTTCTAACACAATTGGTACGTTAATCTACTCAAAATGGAAAAAACAGGAATACTGCAATAAGAATTTAGGACTTCTGATGCTTTTTAAAATTCTGGAGAATTGGTCCCTAGCTAAAATCTCCCACTGAACTTGTAGTAGATGCACCTCACAGCTTTTTAAGTTTTGGTTTTGTTTTAATAAATAATAAATAACAAATAGTCTTTGACAAGGTCCCCTATCAAAGGCTCTTAACTAAATTAGGTAGGTCACAGGGAATATCCAGTCATGGCTTAGAAATTACTTTAAAGATAGAAAGCAAAGAGTGAGTATAAATGTTCAGTTTTCAGGATGGAAAGAAGTAAACAGCAGGGTCCCCCAGAGATCTGTATTGGGGCCACTGCTGTTTAATACATTCAAAAATGATCTGGAAAAGAGAGTGACTAGAGAGGTGGCCAGATGTGCTGATGACACAAAATGTTCAGTAGTAAAGACCAAGGTAGGACTATGAGGAACTACAGAAAGATCTGGTATGATTGAGTGAATGGGCAACTAAATGGCAGATACTAGTCAGTATAGATAAGTGTAATGTGATGCAGCTGGGCAAAAATAGTTCAAATTGTACCTACATTATGAACGACTCTATGTTACCACACAGGAAAGAGAACTGAGAGTCATTGTGAACAGTTCACTAAAAACATCTGTTCAGGAGCCATCAAAAAGGCAAACAAAATGTTAGGGATTATTGAGAAGGGAATTGTTAACAAACTGGGAAGTATTATTATGCTCCTTTATAAACCCATGGTGTGTCCACAGCTTGAATACAGTGCTCAGTTCTGGTCCACACACCTCAAAGATACAGAAGAACTAGAAAAGGTACAGAGAAGGACAACAAGTAGGGAGGAGCTTCCATATGAGGAGAAACTAAACAGTCTGTGCCTGTTCAGTTTAGAAAAGAGATGCTTGAGGTAGGACACGATAAGGGTAAATACAAGATACTAAATGGCAAAGAGAAAATACAAAAAGGATTTATCATTTACTCTTTCAGTACAAGAATTAGGGGTCACAAAATGACACTAGTAGGTATTAAGGTTAAAACTAACAAAAGGAAGTTCTTATTTACATAGTTGGTATATCTACATGAACTGCTTTACTGTACATTAAATTAATCTAATATGCAGTAAAGCATCAATGTCTATACATGAACATCAATTACTGCATGTTAGATTGGTTTTATGAACCATTTGCTAGTACCGATAGCTACAGGCACTAGAAAACAGCACATAAAAAGTAACGTGCCATACCGCATGTGTAGACACCGACCAGAAACAAATTGTTCCCAGGCAGCAGGGGGCCACATTGCTGTCTGCCTAGTCCCTGAGCTCCAGGGGCAGAGCTGCATGGAGCTGGAGGCTTGTCCTGAGCTCTGGAGGGCAGGGGGAGCCGTCCTGGCTCTGGGGCCAACTCTCAGCCATGCTGAGCTCAGGGTTAGCAAGGGATGTTTGAGGACAATTTGCAGATGAACTAAAGGGGAAAAGGCCAAGAAGAAGATCAGCATGATAGCAGACGCACTGTATTAAGAAAAGGAAGCCAGGATCTGTGCCTGCTCTATTCTCCCCTTTCTTGAAACAGCCTCATGACATGTTCAGGGCTCATTTAGCTGGAGGCATCTGAGAAAAGCTTTTGCTCCTGCAGTTGCAGTGAAAACCAGTGGGCTACCCCCCAGCTCAGGGGCAGCTTCCCAGCCACTGGAACCAAGAGAAGCGTCTCCTGCCTTTTGGGGTTGTGAGCCCATCCCTGAGCTGGCTGCTAGTACACACCAACATGCATGAAGCTGTCCCTGAAGCAATCATGGTTAATGTCAAGGTGCCACAGAGAGCCATCCTTGATTGACAGCACCTCTCTCCTCCCCAACACCTTGTCCCACTCTCTCAGCTGGGTAGCCAGCCTGGTGCTCTGCTACAGTCTGAGGAGTCAGGCAGGGGAGAGATGCTGTCAGCCTGGGGTGGCTCCCTATGGCATCTTAACATTAAACACGTGCTGCAGGGTTGGCTTCATGCATGTTGGTGTGTGCAAGCAGCCAGCTTGGAGATGGTCTCACAGCCCCAAGGGGCAGGTGGAGCTGCTTTTGACTCCAGCATTTGGGAAGCTGCCCCTGGGCCAGGGGCTAGCACATTTGGTTTTCACTGCAACTGCAGAAGCAGAAGTGTTCCTGGCTGCCTTCAGACAAATGACCCCTGAAATACACCATGAGGCTATTTCAAGAGGGGGTAGAACAGAGAAGGCACAGATCCTGGCTCTCTTTTCTTGCTGCAGCATGTCTGCCATTGCGCTGATCTCTATGGCCCTCACCCCTTCAGTTCATCCGCAAGTCACCCTCAAACAGTCCTTGTTAACCCCGAGCTTAGCATAGCTGGGGGGAGCTGCCCTTGGAGCAGGGACAGAGCTCCCCACACCCTATAGAGCTCAGCATAAGCCCCCATCTCTTCATGGCAGCTGAGAGCTTCCCCCTAAGCTGGAGACAAGCTCCCACTGCAACCCTGGCAGTCTGGGGCTCCCCCTGGCTCCTGCAGGGGGCAGAGCAGGGCCAGAGCAGCCCTGAACTAGGCTGCTTCTGTTGAACCCAACTTGCTCCCGACAGGTATTGTCCTGTGGGCCAAGCCAACTCTCAGGATCTCAAAATTGAGCTGTTAGATGGGAGGGTGTGATACAATTGCACATATACAAACACCAAAATAAATTAGGCACATGCACACGCACACTAGGCACATGCACATACACATCCAAGATTACCAGTCTAAGCACATGCACACCTATCACCAATTCAAGCACATACACACTATACATACCAAAAATTAGACAAAAATCAGTTGTCAATACCCAAACACCCAATACACATACACAAACACACACTTTCATGGCTAGAGGGCATTAACCCTAGGGGGCGCTTGGGGTAACTTGGTGCTTGGGGTTACTTTAGGTCAAGTGGCCCCAGGGTTACTCAAGGCCACTGGGGCTTGGGGTTACTTAGGGTTAAGGGGTTACTTGGGGTCACCTGGTGCCAGGGGGGAAGCAAGGGAAAAGTCCTGGTAGCAAGGAGGAGACAGCCAGGAAACAGAAAGGCATAAAGCTGGCAGATTGGGGCTGGAAACTGAAAGGCAGAAAGCTGGGAGATAGCCGTGAAATCAAGGAGGAGGGTCAGGAGGTCAGCAAGACAAAAACCCAACTCAGGCTTTCAAAATGACAGGTTTATTAAACAGACAACACACTACACACTACGCAGCCCCACAAAGCTATTGGTTCCTAAATGCACACGAGCACTCACATACACACCCACATAATGGTAGCAGGAGAGAAAAAGGCTTGGTGGAGGGACTGAAGTCAAGGTATGTAGGGACAGAGTTCAGGTCCTTTGATTGGGGAAGGAAGGTGGGTGATAGCTACCTATGCTGGGCTGTGAGTTGATCCTCTATGGCCAGTCGGGGTCTTGTCCAGCGAGGTGTTGTCCAGAGGAGGTCGCTGACAGGGCCTCTGGGTGGATAGGTGGTGTGGCATAGTGGTGGTCCAGATGTAGAGGGCGTCCCACTGGGTCTGTCTTCACTACCCCTTTTTATAGGGACAGACCTTCTATGACCCTAGTGGCAGGTGCATGCCCAGACAAGGGTCAGTCCTGGTGTACTGAGCATTTGTACTCCAGGTGAGGATCTGCAGTTCCAGGTGTCTGTGTTGCAATAGTGTGTGGCTGATTTCTGTACGGTCTTTATCTTTCAAATGCTGGGTCTGTGGTTCCTGGGTGAATTAAATGGAAGGCAATGGTCTGGTCGTTGAGCTGATGGTCCAGTCATTGAGTTGATTATTCAGTAGAGGCCTGCTACTATTGTATCTCAAGCACCCTATTCACCTCCATTCATTCAGAAACCAATTTACATGAAACTGGTTAGATATGAGTCATAGATTACACCTGGGGAGAGGACACAAGATGGAGGCTTAAGATACAAAATGGAAACTTGACATAACTTGACATTACTTATGCTAATTTACACATATCAATAGAAAAAAAAACAGTAAAAAAAAAAAAAAAATCAGTAAAAGAGTATAAACATAATAATTATACAATATAAAACAGTGGATCGAAGGAGATAGAGATAAAAAAAACTTGCTACAAAAATACTAAAGCTTATCCTATGTCTTAACTTACTAGTACTTGTCTATATGGAAGAGAGAGGGAGAGAAAAAGTCAGAAATAGTTGGGGAAGGGAGGGAATGCATTTCAAAAAAAAAAAAAAAAAAAAAGAAAAACTGTGGGTTTTGCTACACAGGAGCATGTGTAGATATGCCTATGGGACTTTGCAGTAAATTCAGACACAAACCTGTATGTGTAGACATATCTAGTGTATAATCAAAGTGTGGAACTCTATCATCACTTATTGTGGAAGCTGATAGCTTAGCACAGGGGTGGGCAAAATGGCAGATCCAGCTAGTGGCCAGACTCCATGTCCCAGCTGCCCCTGCCTGCATGGCTGGGGCCAGTTTCCATGGAGACCGCAGCAGCAGCCATGCTGTGATAGCATGGGGCCAGGGTTTCTGTGGAGACTGGCCCCAGCAGCTCTGGCAGGGAAGTCTCTGAATTAGAGCTTCCTAGATCTTAAACACCAAAAGATGCAAGTGAGAGAAGA